GAGCTCCCACATGTTTTGCTTCAGCCTCTTCATGTCCATTTTTTTGGCTGTCTTTGCGTATTGGATTGCTATCTTATTAACCTGGGGATGGATATTTGGAATTAGCCGAACGCAACCGAGCAGAAGCAGCTGTATCCTTGAGCAGGACAAGACCACCCCAAACCCGGTTCTCCCTCAGGAGTGACTACTCTCCTGCTAAACCCTTGATTTCTAATTGTTTTCCATTCTGCAAAGATCCATCCGGGAATAAAGAGCCCCCTGGAAAGCGCAGGAGCTCCTGCACTGGTGGATCTCATCCCGGGTGTTGGGAGGCTTCGCTCTGGCCCTGCTCAGCGAGCGGTTCGAGCAGAGGGCAGCGCGTGAATCGTTACCCTCTGCGGCTCAGCGAGGAGGTTCAGCTCGCCGTACGTGGTGATTTCGGCGCCGCCCTCGGCGCCGCGGAGCTCGGCGTTCCCGGGGCGGGCCGTGGCGTTGAGCTCCTCCGGCCAGCCCCCGAGTTGAGCGGGGTCGTTGTCATCGTCGCTATCGGCAGCCTGGTCAAGAGCAGAGGCACCAGTGAGACCTCCCTAGACACCGTGGTGGTCCCTGCACGGAGCTCAACGGGGCATCCAGAGTGACCAGACACCCCTCCTCAGCAGAAGGATTCTCTCATTGAGCCTTTCTCCATAGTGCTTAATTTGGGTGAAAGCTAAAAGCAAAGGAGGCCAACCTAGAGCTCTAGACATAGAGAGGCACCTAGAATAGCAGGAGGCTGTTCTGGTAGAACTCCTAGAATAGCACCTAGAGCACCTAGAATAGCAGGAGGCTGTTCTGCAAGGAAGGACAAGAGATGAGGGCTCTTCCACCAGCATGGGCTTAGCTGAGACTTGTCATAAACCATCTGGTGAGGCTGCATGGGCTTGGCAGAAAGCTGAACCCTCAGAAATGAGCTCCAGCAGCTCAGAACTGCTGGCAGCAAGTGTCACTAGGAGCAAGTGTCACTAGGAGCAAGTGTCACTAGGAGCAAGTGTCACTGCAGAGGTGACTACAGACACGGGCATGGAAGGGCTGGAAGGGAATTGCTGCAGCAAATTACTGGCAAACACCAGAGCTGGACAGTTGATGCCATCTCAGTGCGCAGACACTCGTATGGCTGCGTCACACCTTGCGGTGCCAGTTCCTTTTCCCTAGGGATGAATTCTGTCCATGGATTCTCCCCAGGTTTTTCCTGCTATCGAGTATATGCAACAGAGGAACCTTCTTGCCCCCCGTTACCTGCAGCGCAGGGCAGAAGTTGGAGGTGTCGTTGGGGTTGTTGTAATCGTACTCGCCAACGTCATCTTCATAATCCAACAAGCTGCTCGACGCAGCCGACCGGCAGATCTGTGGAGATGCGACCAGGGTGAGAAAACGGGAAAAATCCTACATGTCCCCCCCAGAACGCCTACACCTTGTTAATCAATCACCTCGGAGAAGGCCCATACCTTGGCATCCGGCTTGAGGAACAGCTGGGCAATGCAGCTAGGATCGTAGTTGAAGGCGTCGGGAAGCGTCGTGGTCCTCGCGTTCTGGCTTTCCCGGAACGCTTTGGAGGTGTCTGTGGAAGGTATTACCGTTATCTGTGTGACATCTGCTGCTCACAGAATGAACGTGCAAGTGCTGGCCTTGAAGACAAGCCGTTGTTTGAAAGGAGGAAGTTGCAGGGTGCCTCCAAGAGAAATTTAGCATCGAGTGCACCCAGTGTTGTACGCATGGCACCCTGGGGTGCACAACTGGCTCCGCAGAGTCCTTAATGGTAGAGGATGAGCCAGGAGGAATCCTGCCCTCTTCTTTACCCCGGGGTTGATTGAAAACTCTCCATATGCAACACGACCTGGATGCAGAGGTACCCCCACAAAGGGACAGGCATCCAGCTGGGTTTGCAGAGCCAGTTTCACAGGAGAAGCCGGGGAGCTGCCTGCACACAACAATTCCAGGACACACGGACACGGCAGAAGGGAGAGCAAAAGGAGACAGAGGTGGAAACTCGGTGCTTACCTTAGACTTACGGAAATGCACCCCAAAGTCGATATGCTCATTAAAGTTGATTTCAAACGCTTTCTTTGCTGTCTTCCTCCCGCTCTCTCTTTCAGAGACAGCAGCAGCTGCAGAAAGAGTCACTGCTTCGTGACAGAGTAAAGACAACGTGCTCGTTTGGCTGTCTACCCCACACAGAAACATCACCCGTATCTTCCAAAACCAAGTTTTGTCTCTTCGCTAGTGAAAAGCGAGGTGTGTTGTCCTTGACTTTAGATTTCAAAGGACTCATTATCTCGCTATAGAAGCACAAAGTTTAAAGCCATCCCTCTCCAGGGACAACAGGACAGCCACAGGATTGTCAAGGTGAGCGCTGTCTGCGGGTACGTACATTTGTGGCGAGGTCTGAAGCGCCAGTGCTCCGGGCCAGCCCACATGGACAGAATTCGGGGACTGAAGTAGGAATATTCTCCCGGTTTCATGGAGAGGTGGCGGCACATGGTGTGGATGTCTCCCTCGCCCAGAGGAACCGCCTCACTGCTGGAAAGAGCATGGGCACCACTCAGTAAAACCAACTCCTCTACGTCGTCTAAGGGAATCATAATCCTCCAGCGAGGAACTCAGCACAGAAAGGGAATTCTGCTCCAGGCCTCATTTCTGGGCTGCTGCTTCTCCATCCAAAAGGAATGAGAGGGGACAGGTTCCTTCAGCTATGGTCAGGTTCTCCTGTTGCAACGGATTTCTACTCCCTACTCACCTTTTGCTCTCCTGGATTGTCCCAAAGGTCCCGAGGCTCCCTGTGACCTCCCCCATCTTGTTGGCTAAGGTACAGCTGGGGGAATCGGCCCCAAAGTCGTCATTCGGCATGGCGGGAGCAGCGTCTTCCACGTCACTGTCCGGCTCCGCGTTGATGTCAAACACTTGGTCGCTCCTCTTGAATTTATCCAACAGGGCCGACACGGACTGCGGAAGAAGATGGTGTCTAGTGGAAAAACCTGGATAACTGTTTGGGGCAGATGCAGGGAGAAGGCAGCTCAAATATCCCACCTTAACCACAGCCAATGGTCATACCTCATCGTGGGATGCAGCATCCCACTGTGTAAACTGGAAACCAGCCAGGGAAGAGCAGATGGGGCGTTTTTCAGCACACCGCGTGAGCAGGGCTACAGTCAAGGAGAGCAGAGATTACATAAAGGATAAAGCAAATGGCAGCTGGAACAAGTTCCAGATGTTAAAACATTCTCAAAGTCTCAAATGTAGACAGCTCTTCTCAAAAGTACAGTGTGAGGCTCATTGCGAAAGCGCCTGGTCTCATCTTGGAGCAGAAGGGGAGTTAGGCCGAGCTCAAGGCTGGGCTCAGCACTGTGAATCCAAGCGCAGCAGAAGGGTTTGACTGTACGGACAGGCTTAAAGCACCTTAAAAGGGTCAGCCCTTAATATGGAGCAAACTTGAGCACCGTACAGCTCGGGCCATGTATATGTGCTACGTGACAGCCCTGCCAGTGTTTAAGCTACCTGTGGAGATCTAAAGCCCGTGAGGTTCCTAGTTTTTAAGCTTTTGTTTAACAAGGCTTTAACTCAAGCCCTGGCACATCTGGAGGTTAAGAAGGGGAGCCGGGACGGGCCCTTTGCTTCGTGGCCGCTGGCACTCACACTTCAAACCGGGCACTTCCACGGGAGCAGAGCTTGGCAGGGCGGGCGTCTCGGATGACGGGAGAGGGACGATGTCGGAGTCGAAGAGGAGCTCGCTCCGGCAGCCGTAGCTGCGCAGCCGCGTGAGGAAAAAGCCCGCCGTGCTGCACTCGTCAAAGGACGCTGCCATTTTCTGGAACGTGGGATCGACCTGCAAGCGCGGAAGCGAGCGGATGGATGAGGTGACACTGGTCCCTGCAGGTGGCTTTAGGCACAGCCTCGAAGAAAATGACACCCGGGCATCTTTTCTAGCGAGTAGAGAGCTCTCCCAGCTGCCTCGCACGGGAGGGATATGCACAACTAGGACCAACCTTGCCATAACAGCACAATTTACGGACACACATGCAAATATTAGAGTCCAAAAAGCTGTCACGTGGGGAAAAATAAAAAGGAGGAACAGGGGATGTCTTTCTTCCTCCACCCCGTCACCCACCTTAGGCCGGCAATGAGCCCGGGACACGTTGATGTTGCTCAGGTTCTGCTCGATGGTTTTGAACGAGTGTTTTTTCCTCGGCGGAGCTCTCTTGCCAGACTCGTCGGGAGCTGCAGCACCCTCTGCTAAAAGGAAAATCAGAACAGGGTTAGCACTTTAAAAGGCTGCTAAAATGCCCTGCAGCCGAGAGGTGTAACAGAAGTTTTGCTTCAGTTTGTACAGTCAAACACACATATGCACAAGAAATGAGGGGCACGAAGTTACTCAGTTGGGTATCTGCTAGTAAGAACTGCTGATGTTTCATTAGCTGGATGCTGCGTTTCCTTTTGTCTTCTCTTTTTTCTTAGGAGCACATTTTCATTTTGAAGCAAAGGAGAACAAGGAAGGGGCCACATCATGCCTCAAATCAGGCCACTGTTGGTTTGCATTCAAATCTAACCAGACTGTTGAATGCAGGACTGCAAATCAAGCTCCTGTTATCTCAGCTCTGTGTCCTTCAGCACCCATGCAAAAACCGTTTGGTATTTTTGTCTTTTGGTGCTTTGAAATACACAGGTGCTACCTATGCACCAGGATTTGCTTGCGAGGGGAACCAACAACCAGAGAAGCCGAGGCAAGGGCTCACCTCCTTCCTGGCCGCCCGCGTCCTTCGGAGGGGCCGAGTCCTTGCCCAAGCCTCCGAGCACCTTGTAGACGTCCGCGTGGACCGTGTCCACCCGCACCGCGTAGATCTTGGCGCTGGCGTCGAGGGTGCCGGCTGCGATCTGCCAGGAGGGACAACGTGAGCGTTAGGAAGGGACAAGGCACCTCCAGACTTTGCAAAGGCCAAGGCGAGCTGGCGCTGCTGAAGGACAGCACAAGAAGTTCCCTGTTTTAGCAGCAAAACTGTAAACAGCATCAAAAGGATTTGTTCTGAACCCGTCAGAGAGCTGGCGGCACAGCAGGGTCCAGGGATTTTATTTCATCCAGGCTCCTGGAAGGGCTCACGCAGAGCAATGCCTGCCAGGATCAAGCGCGGCGCTAACTCAAAGGCTGCACATTTGCACCTCCAAAGCAACCGCTCTCCTCCAGCCCCTCCGCCTTCTTTTGAGACATCCTCTCGGTGTCATTTTGTCTCACCCACGTGACAGAAATGACAGGAAGGAAGCAGAGGAAACGCCGAGGGTCCTTTTCAGATCACAGAGCTGCCCAGGAAGGTGAAGGACAACCTGCTCGAAACCTGCCCGCACGTTCCTGTCACAACTCTCATTTCCTCAGCTGTAAAAGCACTGGCCCTCATTGCTAGAGGCTATCTACGTTCCCTGGCATTTGCTCATCCAAGAAATCAGCTGGATTCAGTCACACTCCCTTTCTTTTACAACCTTGTTCTGTCACTGGCGGTAACATCCGATGTTTACTTTAAAGCCTCACAACTCTTCTTTCTAAACCAGCCCCTGCTTTGAAGGGGCATAAACAAGAGAACTTAGTCTTTAACTCATGCGGATGCAAAGAAATTAAAGACTATAAACTTGTAAAAAAGTTTCTGGGTGATCTTTCCCAGATGTTTTAGTAAAAGTCTGTGGAAGAACTGTTTGAAAGCAGGAACTGAGAGGAAAACTAGGGCCTAACTGAAGTTTTGGCATTACAAAAGCTTGCTTGGGGTGATAACACAGCTGCTGCTTCCAGGATGGTTGGTATGGACGGACTCAGCTCCTCCACAGTTCCCTAGACAACACAATCCTCGCAGCTGCAAAGGGGAGTAACGGAGGATGGAGCGGAGTGAAGACACCGCGGCCAAACTCTGCTGCACTCCCTGTGCTGGGCTGCTGATAAGCCGCACAGTGGCTGTCTAATGGGAGATATACGATAACAAGTCTGGTGCTGAGCCAGCAAAGGTGGCCCAAAGTCCCAGCAAAGTCCCAGCCCAGGTCCCTTCATTCTGCTGCAGACTCGGTTGAGGTTCAGTGTTTAGGAAACCACAGGGACCGGGCAGCAATTTCTCTCACCTTGAAGTTGGTCGGCTCCGAGTCCTCCTGCTTCAGTATCTCGGGCATGTAGTCGATAAGGTGCAAGCCAAAAGCGTTCTTGGCGGTGATTTTCTGAAACAGAGCGGAGCTGCGAGTGGATACGTGGACCACGACACCGACCAAGTCGTCCAAGAACCGCTGGCCTGGAAGGGGGGTGTTTTGGGCCAAACCCGCTATCCTGGGGGGTATTTGGAGCCAGGGGATGTGTCTGGGGAGGCGTCTGCCTGGCTGATGCATGGGGGGATAAAGGGGTCCCCCCCGGTACTCGGTGTTGGGGGGCTGCACCTCGAATACTGCGTTCGGTTTGGGGCCCCTTGTTACAAGGACAGGGAGGTCCTGGGGTTGGCCCAAAGGAGGGCAACGAGGCTGGAGAAGGGCTGGAGCACAGAGCTCCCGAGGAGCCGCAGAGGCAGCTGGGGCTGTTCAGTGCGGAGACGAGGACGCTCAGGGGAGCCCTGATCCCGAAAAGGGGGTTGTGGTGAGCTGGGGTTGGTCTCTTCTCCGGAATAACCATCACTAGGGCAAGAGGAAACAGCCCCAAGTTGCACCGGGGAGGTTCAGGGTGGATATTAGGAAAAGCGGAAAGAGGTGAGAAGCCCTGGAGGAGGCCGCACAGGGGAGGTGGAGTCCCCATCCCTGGCAGCGCCCAGGAACCATGTGCACGAGGCGCTTAGGGGGCGGTTTAGCGGGATGCGGCGGCCGCGCTCACGGTGGGACTCGATCGCGGGGAGCTTCCCCAGCCCGCAGGAGCCGGGGATCCCCTGCCCGAGCGGCGCCGGGGCACTCACGTTCTCGGTGGAGAGCTTCACGCACGTCGAGTAGTGCTCCGCGACCTGCGCGTTGCTCCAGCGCGGCAGCGCGGGCAGCGACGTGTCCGCCGGCCTGGCGGGAACGGGA